ACTCTCTATCCTCTCTCCTCCTCCAGGTGTGTTACCGGCTCTGTGGGCTGCAGGTGAGCCGCAGTCTGATCGCTGTCCGCTGGCACAGATGCCGTACCGCCGCCATGCTGATCAGCGCACACGGACGGGTTAGTGCGACGCACCCCCGGTTTCCACTTCCGCCGCACTCACTGTCAGACAAATAACCTTATAATATTGTCACTCATATATTTATTGTGCCTCAGTGTTTGATCACGGCTACAGATATCTCCCTCTCTCTCTCTCTCTCTCTCTCTCACACACACACACACACACACACACACACACACCGTCTGTTAATACACGCGCACACAGCACTGTCCCTCGGGTGTGTGTGTTTGAGCTCCGGCAGGTCACGTGACTCTGGTGAATCAGCTGTTTCCGGTGGCTCTGCGCTCCGCTGCTCCTGCGCTGTTTACGGGCCGCCGCTGCGCTGTTCGGTCGGTCTGCTCGGTGTGACGGTAGCCGGTGCTGTGAGCTCCGCGTCGGTGATGTACCACTCTCTGTTCTCCTTCAGCTCTGCGGAGCAGAACGCGCTGCATTTCCCCGCCGGAGAAGCGTTCCTGATCCTGGAGCGCAGCAGCGCGCACTGGTGGCTGGCGACCCGCTGCAGCTCAGGGGAGACCGGATACATCCCGGCGGCCTACCTGCAGAAGATCCCGGTCAGAACACACACACACATAACACTGATAATGCACACACACACAACACTCATAACACTGATAAAACACACTTATTTACTCACACAACACTGTTATATACATACACACACACACACACACACACACACTCACACACACACACAAACACACACACACTCATATATATATATATATATATATATATATATATATATATATATATACACTCATACACACTAACACTCATACACACACACACACTGACAGTCATATACACACACTTACTCATGTAACAAACACTATACACACTCAACACTGATAATAAACACACACAATCATGTAACACAAACACTACACACACACACACACTCATTCATATATACACACACACACACACACTCACATACTCCTGTAACCCAAATACATTACACACACTCATACACACACACATACATACTCATATACACACACAAACACTACACACACACACACACACACACATAACACAGATTATAAACACACACACTCACTCATATATATACACACACACATAACACTAATAATACACACTCATATACACACACACACTCATAACACTGATAATACACACTCATATATACACACACACTCATACACACACACATACTCATATACACACACAAACACTATACACACACACACACACACTCACTCATATATACACACACACACATAACACTAATAATACACACTCATATACACACACACACACACACACACACACACACACACACTCATAGCACTGATAATACACACTCATATATACACACACACACTCATACACACACACTCATACACACACACATACTCATATACACACACAAACACTACACACACACACACATAACACTAATAATACACACTCATATACACACACACTCATAACACTGATAATACACACTCATATATACACACACACACTCATACACACACACTCATACACACACACATACTCATATACACACACAAACACTACACACACACACACATAACACAGATTATAAACACACACACTCACTCATATATACACACACACACACACACACATAACACTAATAATACACACTCATATACACACACACACACACACACACACATATACTCATGTAACACTGGCAGGTGAGCTTCAGCAGCTGCTCATCTCCTGTGCTCTACCAGCAGCAGTTTCAGTGTCACTCTCTCTCCCCTGTGTATGAGCACACACACACACACACACACACACACACACACACACCGCTGCATACAGTGACCCCTGATCTCTGCTGTCGTCTGCAGGCCCCGGAGCAGGACGAGGTGCTGCAGTCTATTGATCGCGCTATCGAAGCCATCCACAACGTAGCGATGACCAACGGAGGAAAATACAACCTGGAGCAGCGAGACGTGCTGCAGTGAGTGTGTCAGTCATGCTGAATCATGCTGGTGCTGCTGTGCCGAGGTGCGCTACACCTGCTGTGTGTGTGTGTGCTCTACAGGAAGCTGATCCACCACAGGAAGGAGACGCTGTCCCGCAGAAGCCCCACCCCCTCCGGCGTCAAGTCTAAGATCCCGTCATCCTCCAGTGAGGCGTCGCTGAGCCAGACCCCCCCGCCCAATGGTCTGAGCCGCACCCCCCCTCCCAACGGTCTGAGCCGCGCCCACAGCTGCCAGGGCAGCAAGCCGATGTCAGAGCGCACCGCCAGTGTTCCCGGACTCTACCAGGTATACACAGGCCACGCCCCTGTCTGTGTGTGTGTGTGTGTGTGTGTGTGTGTGTGTGTGTGTGTGTGTGTGTGGATTAATGATGTGTGTGTGCCGCAGGTTCCTCCTCATCCTCGTAGAGCAGCACCTGATACTCCACCTGCACTGGATAAACAACGCAACGGTGGGTGGAAAACACTGGTCAACACACACACACACACACACACACACACACACTTACGCACACACCTAGCTGAGTGAATGTGTGTCTCTGTGTTTGCAGATCCTCCAATGTCTTTGCGAGTTTCCTCCACAAGCCCCACCCCCAGCTCTGTAGCTCCTCCTGGACCTTCTCTGTCTATAAGCTCCGCCTCTCTAGACTCCGGCTCCTCCCAATCAGGTGTTTCCTCAGATGTCAGTCTTCCAAGTGTCAGTAGCACTCCGCCCCCTGTGCCAAAACGTGGCAAGGCCCCGCCCCCTCCTCCACCTGACCAATCCCCCCAGGAAGAGCCTGTGAAAAAGAGTCCAGCACCTCAGCCAATCAGATCACAGGCTCCACCTCCTCCCCCAGACCTTTCTATAAAGACCCTGACACCTCAGCCAATCAGCTCACAGGCTCCGCCTCCTCCTACAGACCTTTCTAAAGAGAGCCCAGTGCCTCAGCCAATGGGTTTGCAGCCTGCTGCTGAGCCCCACCCAGAGGTGGAGTGGCCTTTAGCTCCTCCCCCTGTGTCCCTCAGCCCTCCGGCAGGCTCCGCCCAGTGTGCTTTGCCACTGACGATCGGGGCGGAGCTGACGGAGCTGGTGCGGCGGAACACGGGTCTGAGCTGCGAGCTGTCGCGGGTGGCGGTGGGCGTGGTGGTGGGCCGTCTGCAGGGGGCGCTGCCCGGGGCGCAGGTGCAGCTGGAGCAGGTGCTGCAGTCGCTCGCTCTCAGCACGGATCTGCCGCTCGGACAGGTGTGCCACGACCAGCAGCGGCTGCAGGTGATCTTCGGGGACCTGGCGCGACACCGTGAGGACTCTCAGCAGCGCAGCTGGGCGCTCCACGAAGACCACGCCCTCATCGCCTGCTACCTGGAGGAGCTGCTGCAGATACTGGTGCGCTAGCGCTAGCTCCCCTGTTTAGCCCTCAGGCCCACACGCTATATTAATGCTGCTCTATACCTCTGTGTTTCAGACGGACGCGGACGCAGAGGTGTGTAGGAAGATGTGCCGCGTCAACGAGTTCGAGCCGGTTCTGTCGCTGGTGTCGTACTACCAGATGGTGAGAGGATAAGCAGCGGCACTCATCACTAACGCCGATACAGATCACAGGTCATCAGCAGATCAGCCTCCAGACTAGCGAGTGATACGCTCCGTTCAGAAGCTCGGTCACATCAACAGGAGCTGCAGCACCACAGTAATCCAGCCTAGAGCTCATAAGAGCCTGGAGCAGCTGTCTGCAGCCGGCATGGAGAGCACACTTCAGCTCAGCCATATTTCTCAGATGAAGGAAGGTGGTGTCTGTGACATGGAGATCAGATGTTCAGTCGTTACGCTGCTGTCTAATATGACACCCAGTACTTCTACAGTAGCGCTAACGCTAACTCTGTATCCTCTAACTGTAGATTGAGCTGTGAGATCTGCTGTGTGCAGGATTTAGGCACATTAAGTAATAACTCTGCTCTGAGTTTAAAAGATGAAAATTGTTGGTCATCCAGTCTTGAACATCTCTAACACACTCAGTTAGGTCAGACAGTTCAGACGTCTCGTCAGGTTTAGCGGAATTATATAAGTGAGGATCATCTGCAGAGCAGGGAAGCTGATCTCATGTCCTCCAGGGGGAGCATGTATACTGTCAACAGCAGAGGGCCTAACCCTGACCCCAGAGCACCCCATACTGCACTGGCCTGACCTGTGTGTGTGTGTGTGTGTGTGTGTGTGTGTGTGACAGGAGCACCGTGTGTCTCTGCGGCTGTGGCTGCTAAAGGTGTTCGGGGCGATGTGTGGTCTGGACGCGGCGCTGATCTCCACTCTGCTGAACTCCGTCCTCACCATGGAGCTGGCCCGAGACCTGCAGACTGACACTGATGGTGCGCATGTGTGTGTGTGTGTGTGTGTGTTCACAGCACTGACCTGTGTGCGTGTGTGTTCACAGTGATGACCTGTGTGTGTGTGTGTGTGTGTGCAGAGCATGAGAAGATGTGCTACAGTGCGCTGCTGATGGCGATGGTGTTTTCCACGGGCGAGCAGATCCCGCTGCACCACTACGGTAAACTCTCTGTGTGTGTGTGTGTGTGTGTGTGTGTGTCTACAGCATCAGCTGCTGTAGCTCCTCCTCCTCAGTGCTGTAGCCCCTCCTCTCTCAATCATTGACAGTTACCCATCATCCTGATGTATTTGTTATAGGAGAAAAGCTCAGGGTTGTCTCTGATTTTAAATATTTAGGTCTAATTTTAGATTATCAATTAACATTCCAAAAGCATGCCAAGAAGGTTATTAAAATTGTTCAATTTAATCTGGCCAACTTCAGGCATATACGACCTTACGTGACTAATGAAGCAGCAAAACTTTTCATGCACTCCATGATTATTTCTCATATTACACATTGTCTTACTGCTTGGTCACATGCTAGCAAAACAGTTGAATCACTTTATAAACAGGCACTGAAAGTATTTGATCAAAACTCTATCAGGTATCATCACTGTAATATAATACAAAAACATTATTTATTGAGCTTTGATAGTATGAAATATTTGGCGGATGCTTGTATAATTTTTAACATTTTAAATGGATTTGCTCCACCTCCATTATGTGAGTTTGTGACACACAAGAACAATAACGGTCAAGCAACACGATCTGTTACCAGGGGAGTATGTGCTGTGCAGTTTAGACGTACAACTTTTGCACGATCATTATTGGAACACACTTCCGATTGACTTAAGGGGTGTTACAAATTATTCTACTTTTAAATGCAAGTTAAAGAAATGGCTAAAAGCAAATCAAGTTAGTAATCATGTTTAATTCTTTTGTCTAATATTTTAGGAAATTCTTACTTGCATGTTTTTATCTCTTTTTGTCATATGTAACTTTACTGTTTTTGTATGTGTAATGACGTGTTTTTTTATTTTAGGTAGCCTTTTAAAATCTGGCAGGGGGCAACAGATGAAAACTAGTCCTTGTAGCTAACTCTGGCTTATTTACAGTTTCACTGTTGATTAATGAGCATTGTCCCTGTTACATAAAATAAATTCAAATTCTTAAATTCTTCAGCTGCTGTAGCTCCTCCTCCTCAGTGTTGTAGCTCCTCCTCCTCAGTGCTGTA